TTTGAAGTTCTTGTTAACAGCAACGCATTTCCAATTATTCCAAATACAAGATTAATACTAATAAACGTTGCGGTGCTATAGAAAAAATAACTAAAATAAAAAAAAGTATCGGGAAAATAATAGTGAAGATACGCATACCATACGCCACATGTAACAGAAGTAAAAATGTAAATAATAATTATTGGCAACATATATTTTTCCTTAAATGTTAAACCACAACACTTTTTGTCACTAAATATAACAATGAAACGTTCAATCGATATAACCACTACTATTGACCCCGATAATACCAATGGAAACGCAACCCAAAATGCAATAACGGAAATAGTGAAACACCCGATGTAGTTTAAATAGCTGAACAAAACAATTTCAAGTGGAGTGTGAATTATTGAAACCATAAAATCAATAAAAGATAATAATAGAACCATTTTTTCATTTCGTGAGAACTTACGTCTTTTTGATTTATATATTCCGAAAGATAGCAATGCGTTCGAAATTAAAATAAGCACTCCAACAATTCCATTTATTATCTTAAGCATTTTTCCATTCCATCCACGAGCAGCATCAATATACGGTAAACGACAAAATTCATCTCTACTTATATCAAAAAGGGAAAAAAATTTGAGTTTGGACATTTTATTAATGTTTAAGCAATTGTAAACTTTCGTTTGAAAATTTCGTCAATATTTGTTTCGAACCAATTATACCTTAAAACTAATTTTTAAACTTTTAAGGTTTTTTAAGTTTACTGTTGAACTTATATGTTGCTCTACTACAAAACATTGTTTGAAATAAAACTCTATTATGTCATTATTAAAATTTTAAAAGAAAATTATTTAAACAAAAAAAAATTGCATTTGAGGTTAGACCAACCAAGTTCAAATTTGAATAAATTAATAAATATGAAATTATAAAAGTTTAATAATTGAAAGATTCTTTATTAAAAAATCTCTTTGAAACAAATAAACACAAACAAACGAAAATTATGTCACAACAAACCAGACCGGCGGTTATTATTCTTTGATGGTAGCTAAAACCAGGGTTTCCGTGAATAGATTGCAATAAAAGCCGATAATATAAGTCAATAAAACCAATTTTTAATATAAATGATTACTATAAATACATTTTAAAGCTAAAATCAAACCTTATTAATCATAATTTTAAAATGTCCACGTCATTTTTAAATAACTTCTCTAAATGTAACAAGCAACATCTATATCGCCGGAGTTTTCACAACAACAAAAATACGTAACGCATTAAAATAAAACGTTTGGTTGTGTTAGGGCGTATCTGTTTAAGCTACAAACGTGAATTTAATTAAATCTTTGATATATTTCCGAAATATTAACAAGGCCGTCAAAAAAATGATGAAACCTTAGTTAAATTGATGATTTTTGTTTTTTATAAAAAAATTAAATTCAAAAATAACTTAAATTTTAAATTTGATCAATATAACGTCGTTAAAAACATCTGCTAAACTTTGTTTTCTTACAAACGGTTATAAAAGTTTCAAGATTTTAAAATATAATACAAACAACGTTGTTACGTAGTAAAGCGATAAAAAGATGCGACAAAGAAACGTGAGAATTCGCGCTCTTTAAAGAAGTTTGGTTTTCCGAATTGTTTAAAACACGGGTTACACGGTTTGTTAAAATTATTATATAACAAAAACTTAATTAATATCTCGCTTATTTACTGTTAGCATTTTTTAAAATAAAAAATCAAGTTATTGACACATTTTGATATAAGTAGCAAACGAACTTTGCCGCCATATTTATTACGACGATAGAAATAGCAAACGGAATAGTTGGATAGCTCATTTTCATCTCATAAGCTTTATTAGCATACGGCGTTTACCCATCAAAAAAAAAAAAAAAAAAAAAGTGAAAAGATGGTTTAGTGTTATCTTTTATTGATGTCGTGGTTTCAATAATAGGTACCCCTCTCAAACTTCTTTTGTTTGTATACTTAGATCACATTGGATGTTTCGCTATTCGGCTATTGCATTTTGGATTGAATTTTTGTACATGTTCTCAGGATCAATAGCAGTGATTATCTTGACTGAGCGTTTTATAGTAGTATTTAACGACAAAAAATGTTGCGGTTTTAATTTCAGGGAATTTATATGACTCCTTTTTTGATTTTTAGTTTATTTGCTTCTATTGGATTTGGTATTTGGTTTTTATATCTTCATTATTTTTTTCATTACACTGCTTTTTTTTTTCATTATTGTTTCTACAGTAAAGCGACATTTGCAATTGTTAATCTCATCTTCGGAATATCTATAAGCATATTACTACTCACAAGAACATCAAAAAAGTTGAATAATAGTGTAATTCGAGTTAAAAGATACCCAGCCGGCATTTGGTTCTTAAAAGACGTCTTTTAAACGTTTAAAAGACATTTTTATGGGACTAAATGCCGGCTGGGGATAGTGGTTTTGAAATAAAGTTGAACCATACTATGATTGTCATTTCAGTTTCTCTAATAATTTCTTATCTTCCCAGGATCAATACGTACTATTTTATGGCCAATATTGTTTCTAAAATAGATAATGATGCCATTTTTATAGCGATAAAGTTAACACTATGGAGTTTAATGCTATGTAAACTAAATTTAGCTTCGAACGCTATACAAATGACTAGATGTAGATCTATTTCTAAATTATACATATCAAAATTTTTAAAATTTTGATATGTATATTTTAGAAAATTTTATGCCAAAGTTTAATAATTTAATTATTAAACTTTGGCATAAAAATGACTTTAGACTTTGATTATCTTAAATATTTAGTAAAAAAAAAAATTAACTAGAGCTGTTGTAACATCGTTATTTGGACGTGTAAATAAGTACACATTAGTTATGAATGTGTAAATCAAGCTATTTACTTTATCAATGTGTACATCTTTTTAAAAGTTTGAAGTTGTAAATATAGAATCTATTACGACGTTTACACCAGGGCCTGCAATATTCAAAATGTTCTGAATAAAATAGGCCACATAGAAAAGTATTTTTTCTTTCGTTTTTTTTTTTTTTCAATTCTAAGTGGACCATTAACAGCATCTGCTATAAGCTTACTAAGAGGGCCATTAGCGGCATCCTGTACAAGTGGCCAGCAAATGACTTTTCAACATGTGATATAGTGCCTGCCAGCCACTTTTAACAGCTGTCATAAATGGTCCACTAAGTAAATGATGAGAAAAAATACAATTGACCGCTTAAAATGCCTATATATGTTTACAAGGTTTGCTATAGAATGTTTGCTAGGTATACAAAAATATCCCAATTTAAAAATTAAAAAATGAAAGCTGCTATGATCAACATAGTTAGTGGTTTATGCAGAGCAATGACGAATGTAGAGTGATGATGATGATGAAGATGATGATGATGATGAGTGTGGTCATTGTGAGCAGGAGAGTCATGCATATGAACCTACAGATGATGAAAAGATACCTCATCTTATTGGCCAAGCTGAATTGAACGGTTTATTGAGGAATTTCGGGTTAACGAAATTCCTCAATAAGAAAAAAGCAGAACTGCTGGGATCTAGTTTACAATGGAATTCTTGTTTACAGCAATGAAAAAACAAGTGGAACAACAATTTTACATTTTCGTGATACGCATGTATAGCTTGCTAAATTTTATGACAAGAATGACAATATCTCTTATTGTACTAACATTAAGAGTTTAATGAAAGAACTGGGCTGTTAGTATACTTCAGGAGATTGGCGTCTGTTTATAGACTCAAGTAAAGTTAGTCTTAAAGCAGTTCTCCTACACAATGGGAATGTGATGCCATCTATTCCATTGCCACACGCAGTCAGATTACATGAGACGTATGATCCTATGAAGTTGCTTTTCAACTTTATCAAGTATAGAGATCATAACTGGTGCCTCTGTGGGAATCTAAAAGTAGTGTCCCTTTTTCTTGGATTGCAGCTGGCATACACATAATACATGTGCTTTCTATGTATATGGAACAGCCGTGACGACAAAAATCATTAGACAGTTAAAGACTGGCCTGAGAGTACTGATCATGTACCTGGTAGATACAATGTACGACATGAGTCTCTTGTTGATCCTACCAAATACTACTTCCCCCACTTCACATAATGCTTGAACTGTTCAAAAATTTTGTGAAGGCTCAAGGCAAGGATTCGAGTGGCTTCGCTTATCTTTAAGAGACCATTCTTACACCAGCGAAAATAAGTGCGAGTGCATTCACCGGAACTCAAATTTGTGAAGTCATTCGTAATTCCACCTTCAAGACACAGCTGCAGCCGGGGTTGCATTCGTGGCTGTGGTTTCTAACTTTTTTGGAAACCACAGGTCTGAGAAGTATGAAGAGTACTAACTAAATACAAAGATATGGAATGCAGAATGTCCTTAAAAATTCACTTTTTGCACTCCCATCTCAGTTTCACCCCACCCAATCTAGGTGCAGTCAACAACGAGCAGGGTGAACGTTTTCACCAAGAAATAGCAACGATGGAAAACAGATATCAAGGGAGGTATGACAGTAACATGATAGGGGATTTTTGTTGGTTTTTACTGCGAGATGTGATACTAATTACAAAAGTAAAGCAACATCATGTTACTATTTTTGATTTCAAAATGCACTGTATTACGATTGCCTGAAGTTATTTTTACATACTGTATAGTTGTTTTTGCTCTTCTATTTACATAGAAATATTAGTTATTGTATTGAAATTTAGAAGCATTGACATTACATATTCTAATGATAATGACCATAAAGTGTTAAAATGGTAAATCAAGATGTCAATATAACTTTAAAACCTGACATAATACACATTTTTCAATGTCATATTTGGAATCAGCAGGTCAAAATGGTCTTCGTACACTTAATAGATCTCAGGTAGCAAAAACGTTGTTCCCTAGTGTAATTGAATGATTTTTTTTCCGTGCCGTAATCCATAAAAGTTTCTGTAAGTGAAAATCTGCTTTGACGATATAATACATTTTAAAAAGCACAACGAATATTTTAATAAATTAACAGTTTTACTAAAAACAAGAAATTACAGAGAAATAATAACAACTAATTATATAGTCACATTGATTACCACTTAATCAAGTTAAGATTAATATTTAACAATTTTTAACATTTGTCTCTCATAGTTTCTACTATAGGTGCGTAAATACTAAACTATATAATTAACCAATAATTAAAACGTGCTTTTCATAATTAACAAAGCAAATCTAGAGCTTTTAATAACAATCAACAAATTCTAAAACTTTTTAAATTTATTTTAACTCAATTATCAAACAATTTCAGTTGTCAACATTTTTTTAATTTAAGTTTTCTTTTGTTAATTTTTTTATTAAATAAGATAATATAAACATAAAAATTTTAAAAATAATAAAATATTAATACACTTCTTCTTCTACGTCCATTATAATAACTTCATTCTTTCTTTTAAGTTTGGCTTTTCTGACATTATTGTAATTGGAAACCTTTATACAATTAATAAACTTTTTAAATGAATCTTTATCAAATATTTGATCAATTGTTTCGCTTACATCATAATCGAGTTTACTCTCATTCAATAAGTAATCGAATTTCGAAAACAAATCTTTGATTGGTGGGTTCTTCGATTCAACAGCATATAACTCTTTATTTTCCACTAAAAGTAATCAATATTAATAACAATATTGATTTCACAAGTCGTTAAAATAATGCTTAATTTCCGTTTAGAAAAACGCTCTTCAATTATTAAGGGTCAATATCACATTTTTAAGATATTCAAATATCGTTATCTAATAAAACTTGACTTTTTTCATTAATCATTAAAAACGACGATATTTTTTTAAACTGCATTTTTATTTTATCTTCAAAAAAGGAAATTAAAAATCTTACTGCTATTTACGTTATTAAACGTTTTTTCTAAAGTAACTCGAGAACATTCTCTATTGTATTCTGATAAGTACTTGCCACCGTGTTTTCTTATACACCCTCCATCATACTCTGCAACCCGTATGGTTTTACTTATAGGGTACTTTGTTTCTGACTGAGTTCGTATTGGTGTCTGCAGCTTTTTCTGTCTATGTTTAAACAAACCTAATATGTAATTATTAATAACTATCTTAAAAATTTTATAATAAAATGTTTTCATAAAAATCAAGTAAAAAAAATGATGATCTACAGTTTCTATTAAAATAATGTATAGTAACCAAGTTTTTCTCAAAAAATATCATTAGCTACTACTACTACTACTACTACTACTACTACTACTACTACTACTACTACTACTACTACTACTACTACTACTACTACTACTACTACTACTACTACTACTACTACTAATATTACTACTACTAATATTACTACTACTACTACTGCTGCTGCTGCTACTACTACTACTATTACTGCTACTACTACTGCTACTACTACTGCTACTACTACAAGTAGTACTAGTAGTAGTACTTGTAGTAGCAGTAGTAGTAGTAGTAGTAGTAGTAGTAGTAGTAGTAGTAGTAGTAGTAGTAGTAGTAGTGGTAGTAAATAAATCTATGTATTTACATGTATATATATAAAATTATTACATTATTTGCTATATCTATTTTATTATAACTATATTGTCAGATATAATTATAAAAACCTAAAATTAAAAAATAATATACATGTTGTTAAAACAAATTAAATAAAAAAAGTAAATTATGTATTTTAGACAAGTATTGCAAATGAATATTAGGTTACTAAATGGATTTCTCACATCGAAAAACACATAGTAAAGAATAATAAAATTACAAAAATAATTTTATCAGTTTATTAGTATGACACACAAGATGGAAAAAAAAAGTATTTATCAGTTCACAATGGGTCCTAACAAAGGAAAAAATGGCCAAAAATCTAAAAATCAAGTTTTAAATTTTTGAAAATTTTAAATGCTAACTTTAAATCTTATTTGTAGCTGCATCTGAAACAGATTATTTTGTACTTAAAAAAAGTTGGATGTTGAGTAACCATTAGACTCAAACTCAAACTGACCGAAATTTGTGTTAAAATTCCTATTTTGAGTTTATTACATTTACTTTGTGATTGCTGTTTTAAGAATATTAAATTATATATCTATGTAAAGATAATGATTAAGTCTATCAATATATGCAATAAAATTAATTTAGTTTAGTTTATTTCCAATAAAAATATATGTATATTTATAGCGCTTTTAGTTTGTTTATATCTTAAAAGCTAGAGATATAATTTTACTGTTGATGGCCGGTGGAAATCTAACTTGCAATAACTTGATACTTAGTTTAATCAAATTTGATAAAAACTTAGTCTGTCTTGTAGCGTTTGATTCATTGTTTTTCCATTTAAAAAACTTTTTTTTGTCTTTTTTTTTAAAAAAAATCAAAAATAAAGACAAATGGCATCAGTATACCGTCAACCGGGGTAACTCCGGACGATTTTAGATATAAAATGTTTGACTGTTTCTTTAAAAGCAATTCAAAATGCTTCATTTTGTGTTAATCGAACACTCTAATAATGATGAACATAAAGACATACTGGTTTCAAGCTCTTCTATGGATTATTTCCTTAAATAAACGGTTTGAAAATCAAAAAATCAAATTCGGAAAACAGGGTAACTCCGGACGCTTAATGATAGGATTTTAAAAGTTCAATTTCTAACTTCAATGAGTTCAGCATTATCTTAGTAACATGTAGCATGTATCTTACTATGGCAAAAAGCTGTTTCATTTAAAGAGAACAGTCCTATTTTATATAACAGAACAAAAACAAAGCTATTGATAAAGTAATAATTTATTTCAAATATACTTTTATATAATAAATAATAATTAAGAATCAACATTTTTTATTAGGATTATACATTTAAATTACTCATTATCAAGTGAAAAATACAGAAGTCATTTTGCCTTTAGAAAAATACAAGGCAAATTATTATTTTTGGCATACAATGCACTCAATCGACATAGCATCTTTCAAACATTTTGAATGATGCCAAAACCGCAACGTTCGCAGCCAGTCCAATCAACTGAAACTTCCTCTTCTTCTTCAATGATTTCACCGGTTTCTTCGTCGTCTTCTTTTCCAAAGATGAAATAAATATCAGTGTCATTATCTGCAACAACATTTAAAACTGCCCCTGATGCAATGTTTAACTTATTACCCCTGGGTTCTTTTGTTTCATATGCGCCACAATTAGACATTAACAAAGTTGTTACTGAATCGTTTAAAATAGTTTTTGTTGATGCTCCTGGTGTCTGGAACTCTGGAATCTTTTTTAAAATGATCATACAATTTATCAGATATATTCCACATGTATGAAATCCAGGAACTAAATTTTGACGTATAGTGTCTTGCAATTTAAAAGATTTTCAATAGACCTGGAAAATGTTCTTTAGGAAAACATCTAGATTTTCTGCTTTGTTTCTTCCATTCAATTAATACTTGCCTACAACAACGCTTCATAGAACCATAGACAGATACATCTAATGGCTGCATTATATGTGTGGCATTTGGTGGCAACATAACAAAGTAAACATTATGCTCCTTGGCTAGTTTTATAACGTCTGCATTAAAATGAGAGGCCAAATTATCTCCTAAAGTTTGCGCCCATTTAAATGCTGAATGTTCGGCAAGAAGCATGCTTTAAACCGTTTCTCGAAGGTTTCCATATCAAACCAACCTGTTTTTGTACAACTGTAGGCTGTTCCCTGTGGCCCTCCTGTTACCCAACTTTAATATACATTCAATGCTTTGTAAACTACCATAGATGGTTCCATTATTCCAGAAGCAGAGCCACACCACATAATAGATATCAAAGTTTTACTATGTTCTTGGATATTTTCAACACGTCGTCTTCCTCTTTGAACTAAAACAACATTTTTTCCAGGATCATCTGAAGGATTTGTCTCGTCGAAATTAAATATATTTGAAGGTGGAATATCACCAAATAATTCATAGGTTTTTTCAAGTTCATTAAAGAAATCTGTTATAATTTCAACTCCTAACTTTGATCTTGAACGTTTAATATTGTAAGCATTTCGGCCAGTAATTTTATTTCGTTTCATAAAAGAATTTAACCAGTCATCTCCAGGCATCTTTAACATGGAATTGTTCAACACATTATGATTTTTGAGGAAATCAAAAGCCATCATTCTAACTTCTAATCTTCCAATAGGAAAGCCCCAATCAGCAACTGCTTCTATCATTTGAGCAATGAGTACTTCATCTGTAATGCTTAGAATTGTAGGCCTTCCAACCTTCTTTAGTTTAGTGTTTCTAATGTGATCATGTAATGTGGATTTTTTAACATTATACTTATCTGCAGCCTTCCGAATACTCATGCCTTTACCATAATCTTTTAATGCTCTTTGAAGATTTTCTTTGGAGCTTGTTCCATACAACAATGTTAAGTTTTGCTTACGTTTGTAAGTTCGCGGCATTACTACAAGATACAGAAAAGGAAAAAGAAGAAACGCTCTGTCCGGAGTTACACTGCAGTCCAAAGTTACCCCGGTTGACGATACTGATAGAAATGCCATCTGCAGTAACCAATAATTACATTATTGGTTACTGCAATAATTATATAAAATTATATAACCAATAATTACTTTGTAAGGATTATTGGTTACTGCAGTAACACATAGTCCTTACGCAATTCAAAAGCATTGCTCTAAGATAAATAAAACCGTGAAATGTGTAATTACATTTAAAAATGATTATTAAGTATAGTGAAATTGTTGCAATTATAAAGCAAAATGATAAACATTATCTAGCGATTGAAAAATGCTTGTTTTGTTGTGAAGAAAAACTTAAAATAGACCTAAAGGAAGAAGAAAAACAAGTTATAACACAGAAAATAAAAGATATAAAAAAGCGATACAACGAACTTTGGAGAAACTGAAATGTACCTCAGAGTTGCTACAATCGTCGCTGCACAAAATGATAAAAAAGACCTATCTCATTTAATCAAACAAGTTATTCAAAGTCAAAATTTGGCTGCTGTTTTGAAAAAGATTAATTCTGAAGTTGTGAGAATGCCACCGGAACAAGCGTTATCGTTTCTTTTTGATACGAATTTGTCCAAAGATCAGTATAACCAAATGAGATTTGCAGCTAAAACTCAAGGTGGCGATATTTTCCCTCCTTATAAGTTGGTATAAGCTGAAAAATCTCAATGTTGTCCAAGTGAAATATTGCAAACAGAAAATTGCATTGAAGTAGAGCGGAAGCATTTATTAAAACATACTCTAGAAAGAATTAGTAAATTGCAGCATGAACTTATTGAGAAAGAAATTCCAGAAATTAATGTTGTTCAATGCAAATTTATAGTTTCTTATGGCTTTGACGGTAGCGCGCAACAAGCAAGGTTCAATCAAGATCTAAATAAAAATTTTAGTGACAGTTCATTATTTGTGACATCTATGATTCCTTTAAGATTGCAAACAAGCTTTGAAAAAATTTTATGGACTAATCAAACTCCTCAGTCTACTAGATTTTGCCGTCCACAGAGAATCAAATATGCAAAAGAAAGTAAAGAATAAGTAATTCGATTAAAGGAGAAATATGATAAAGAAATTGCTGCACTCAAAGAGGTTGTGATTATTTTAAAGTCTGAAAAGAAACTATTGGTTAAATGTAATCTGTGTTTGACGTTAATAGATGGAAAGATTCAAGCATTTATTACAAAGACATCTTCGTTTCAAGGATGTAATGTGTGTGGTTGTTCTTCAAAAGATATGAATAAAATAGTAAATTTTACGAAAGGAGTATTTTATGTTAACCCAGTAGCTCTACAATATGGTTTAAGTATTCTTCACATGCATATACGCTGTTTCGAAGCAATGTTACACATTTCTTATAAATTAGTTTTGCCTGAAAATCAATGGCAAGTGCATGGAAAAGAAAACGAAGCAATAATAAAAGCAAGGAAGATTGAAATTCAAAGTCGATTCCAAAACAAACTTAACATTCATATAGACATGCCAAAATCAAGCAGTGGCAATAGTAATACAGGAAATGTTGCAAAAAGAGCATTCGAAGATCCAAAGCTCTTTTCTGAAATTTTAGACATCGACTTGGAGCTTATTTAAAGATTAAGAATACTTTTGTTGTGTATTTCTTATCGATTTCCAATTGACCCAGTCAAATTTAATGACTATTGCTTCTCAACAGCATCTCGGTATGTTATATTGTACAAAAAAATTTCCTATGACTCCCACATTACATAAACTTTTGATACATGGCTCACAAATCATATCAAATTCAATTGTCCCTGTTGGCATGTTATCTGAAAAAGCTTCAGAAAGTAGAAGTAAATTTTTTAGATCAGATAGAATCAATCATGCTCGAAAAGATAGTCGCCAACACAACCTCTTTTATGTGTTCACACGTGCAATGGAGACTTCAGATCCGATTCTTTCAAGTTTAATATTACAACAAAGAATTCAAAAGTACAAGAAACATAAGATGCCATTTGAAGTAAGAGAACTATTAATCTTGATGATGATTCTAACAGTGAAAATGATATAGATGATTTTGAAAACAGTCACATGTATGAAACAAATGTAGATTCTGAAATATATCAATAAGATGATGTTATGATTTTTTATAATAAAAATAGCAGATGTGGCGCAGTGGTTATAGTGTTGAACTCTTTACCCAAGGGGTTGCAAGTTCGAATCGAGTATCAATAAAATTGAACAAAATATTTCGTACAATAACTTTTCTCTATTATTTGCTTGCAACATAGATGGCAGCATGAGTATAAAAAACTTATTCATATTTTCATATAATTTTTTACACTTTATTTTAAAAATTTGGAAAAAGTTGTGGGGGGGGGGGGCAGGGGGAAGGGGGGGGGGGGGAGGGACTCAGCTTTTCACTCCTCACCACTTCCCTCTGTTACAGCGATCCCTTTTATAAATACGCATGTTTTACTTTTTTTTTCCATAAGTTTTTTTTATAAGCTATAAATATATACTTAAATAATATAGTAAAAAGTAAAAAAAATCACTGAATGTCAATTTATTGCTAAAGAAATTCTTATCAGACTCTATTTTGAAAGAAATGGTTAAAATTTTTTCAAAAAACATTTAATTGTTTTTTCATTCAATTTAGAATACTCTTTTTTATAATTGTGCAAAATTTTGAATGGATTGGCAGATTTTTTGATTTTTGGCCTTTTTTTCTTTGTTCGGCCTCATTGTGCAGTTGTGATTGTGCTTGCAGCAAGTTCAACAATAATTCATTTAAAAAATTAAATAGCTTATTAAAAACAATAAAGACACCTTTAAAGTATTCCAATATAAAATCAATTATCTCATAATCATTGATCTGGCACTCAGGATTTGCACGAACACTGCTAAAAGCATCATTTAAAATGGATATGGAAATGTTCATTATGATCCAAATTACTACAACATTAAAACCAAAAAAAAATATTGGCCCAAGAAAAATATTAGCATGCACATATTGTTTAAAACTGAATTTTCCCAATAATAATGAAACAGTAGAAACTATTGCTTCAAAGTACGTCTTGTATTCACCCAATAATGCACCTAAAGAAATTCATTTTAAAATAAAGACTACAAATTTTAAATAACCAATGCAGTAAACAGAAAGTCTGTAAAAATAACAATAAACAATAAGAGTCATATTTTAAAGTTTCGTTAACTTTTTTTCAAAATTAAATTTCGCTATAGCTTTTTTTCAAAGTTGCTAAATTAAGAAAATTTAGCAACTTTGAAAAAAAGAAATGTCAAACAGTGTCAGTTTTGAGAATGCAAAACCATGTCGAATACGAACTCCACCTAACAGAAAAGAATAATTATTAATTTGGTTTTTTCAACATTTCAGAGTTTGTACTGCTTATTACAATGTTTTTGCTAATTTGTGTAATAATTTATGGTCATTGAAGTGTCTATTCTTCCAGATTTCGACAATTTTTAACACTGCTCTAGAAAATGATGTAATATTCTCTAATAGATTGTTCTATCTTTATGAGAACTTGCAAACGTTTTTACCCAATTTAATATTTAAATCGACTTGATTCTTGTACTTACTTTAAGTATGTATTGGAGTTTTTGTGCTTTAATTTATGAACTTCCTAATATATTTACAATCTTTTAGCTAACCTAAGTCAATTATGACCTATATTACGGATTCCATCAGCTAGTTTTACATAATTGTTGATAAAAATTAAAAAATTGTAATTTTAACAAAATTCTTTACTTGCTGCATCAATATATATATATATATATATATATATATATATATATATATATATATATACATATATATATATATATATATATATATATATATATATATATATATATATATATATATATAATATATATATATATATATATATATATATATATATATATATATATATAAGTATATATATATAAAAAAAAAAACAGTTATTTACATATACTATAACTAACAAACTAAACTTAAAAATATTAGCAGTTAATACGAGTTAAAAAAATAAGTGAAACATAACATATAATGTTAATTATTTGTTATTTAATTTTCACATTACATTTAAGTTAAAAATAAATTAGAACATTACCAAAGGCAATATTAGAAAAGATAACAAATGAACATAAAACAATAAAAAAGACAATTCCAAACATTGATAAAGGATACCAAGCAGCTTTTAAAGTATAAGATATCATTAAAACTTTATGATTGAACTGCAAAAGTTTAATGAACTTTAAAGTCACAAGGAAAACTATTAGAGAAACAATGCATACATATATCATATCACAGTAAGATGCAAACTGGAAGTTAATAAACACCTGTGGTTTTTTATCTGGAAGCTGCTTCAATAAAAGTTTTGCCAGATAATCTGAAAAAATTAATAAAAATTAATGTAAAAAAATGTTGCAAAATATCATTAAAAAAATTGAAAAAAAAAAAATTAACAGTAATCATTATAATGATTACTGTTGAAAATTTTTTCTTAATATTAAGATAGAGAAATAAAAACAATAAGAATAATAATAATGATATAAAATACTTTAACAATAAAAAAAATATATTTTTACAGTAACAAAAAACATTTATTTTGTCACAAAAAAAAAACAAATTTTTTAACCCAAAGCATATTTCTATCATGTAATTAAAATGGAACAAGATGTTTAAATGCATTGAGGGCATTTGCTAAAACTAAACTTCAATACTAAAACAAAAACATGCCAATGAAAAAGTTGTTTAAGTTCATAATGTACTTTTTAAATCTAATTGAATTCATTTTACATTAAAATAATCTGCATAACACACAATGTTAGTGTAATTCTAATAAAGATAAACTTCAATTATAATTAATTGGAAATTTGAATAAATAGAAAATTTAAATAAATAAATAGAAATTTAAGAAAAATAAAAATTTGAAAAAATGAAAAAATACCAAATTTTTCTATAGATTTACTTATCATTTTTGAATGCATACGAGGAAAGCTTCAGATAATTCATCAAAAATTGCTGAGCAAGAATTTTAATGACTTAAAGTTTTCATTTCAAATAAACTTTTTTTAAAATTAATAGTCTTTTTTTTAAATTAATAGTCGAACTAGAGGATTTTACTATCCTATATGTATTTATACAATTAAAAGACAATGGATTTAAAAAACTAGCATTCTAAACTTATGTTTAGAGAATGCTCAAGATCCTTGAATGCCTACCCTTAATATTACCCAGAATATTTTTTAAAAGTTATATATATATATATATATATATATATATATATATATATATATATATATATATATATATATACATATATACAAATTTTAAAAATTTTAATGCTATTTTTTTATTATTTTCCTTTACTCTATTTCATTTTCTTTTTGTTTTTATTAACTTTTATATAAATAAAAAAAAAAAATCAAAATGATGAACAATAAAAAATACCTTTATAAAAGAATAGTGCCACAGCAATAAAATAAAGTATTATCAATGCAACTTCCACTAAGTTCCAAAACTCTACAAAGTATTTACAACCAGCTCGATATAAAAAACAGGATTCTCGAATAGTAAACAATAAAGTCAACACAAAAAATAGAACATGAGAACCCAATAAAACCTTTGATTCAGTTACTGATGCATACAAATTAAATGTTAGAACAGAAAAAGTAGGAATAACTCCACCAGAAGCTGGAAACTCTAAGGCCATTGTAACCATGTTGAAATAATTAGTAGCAGCATTAAACAAAGCAAACTCAATTATTATGGCTCTTGTTTGCCTATCAATCCATCTGTGTTTTTTTGCTTGATCAAGTATAACCTGGTTTTTCCATTTAGAAAATATTTCAATGACATAGCCTCCACCATAGTAAGTGTCTAAACTAGCTGTATATGGATAGCCGTCAAGTTCTTGCCATGTTTGATACCTCCAAGGAATTGTCAAAGTATTAGTTGTAGAGTTATATTGCTTTGGAATAGTCCAATTCAAATCAAAACTTCTTGTTTCCTCTAATGTAGTTTTATATGGAGACAAACAGTTTATAGTAATGAAGTTAGCAATTGAGTTGGTTTTTGTGCAAGAGTCTAAATGAATAAAAAAGTTTTTTTAAGTGATTTAGTAAATCTTGCCTTTCAGAGGTTTAGTAAATTTTGAATAAAAGGTTAACGAAAGATGGAGTATAAGTGTTAGAAATAGTATGAAACTTGGTTAAAAATATTCATTTTTTTTTAAATTAAAATGAGTTTGAGCCAAAAAAAAAAATATATTGGATAATATTTTGGGTTCCACCAGTGTAGCAAAACAGATAAAATCCAAAAATAATAACTCCTGGTTAAATTATTTTATCTACTCTGGTAATCTATTCTTAAGTTTTTTTTTCAAAAATAAAGCGAAATAGATGAAATAAATTTACCTCTTTTATAACGCATTTTATGCAGATAATTTTTTAAGTAAATTCCTATAATATGTTGTATCGCAACAAACATTTGTGAGTAATTTATATTGTTATTTTTTAATAATATAACTTTAATTAACATTGATTAAAGTATATTTTTTAAACTTATATTTAATAAAGCTGTATTCTGTATTTAATAAACCTGTAATATAAAAATTAAGATAAAAAAATGAAGATCAAAAAGCCATCCCGAACAAGGGGTGTAGGGGGTGTCTAGACCACCTAAAGATATTGTATATACATCTAAATTGTACATTTAGCATTTGAGTGGGCAAGTTTTGAAGTATAGTTGGCAAATGTCAAATGACGAGGATTTTTTTTTTGTGTCTCTAGTTAGCAAAAAATACATGACACCCCCAAAGAGAGATCTCTTTGGGGACAGCCCTGCATATATATATATATATATATATATATATATATATATATATATATATATATATATATATATATATATATATATATGTATTTTTGTTAAATATACTCAGCTGTTGTTATGTTTATCCAGTAGAAAGCAGCACAGGGCAGAGATTCACTTGTATCCCTTGGCCACCAACAATTTTGTTTGCTTCTTCTATCAAATTCTATACTTAACTTAATTTTGGTAAAATTGTCATTGTACCCCTTGGCTTCTGACCCACTCATATATATATATATATATATATATATATATATATATATATATATATATATATATATATACAGCATAGAAAACAACAGCCAGTCAACGGTCAATGATCCCCTGAAATGACAAAAAATGCTATATCGACTTCCCAAAATGAATTCTTGCCGGTCATGGTTAAACGGTTAAAAAAAAATCAGTGATTTAAAAGCAAGTTTTGACTAATAATCATGTTATTTGGAAAATGCATGCACTAAAAATTTAAAAAATTATTTAAATTTTAAAAAAGCGTTAAAAACAGTTTTTTTGTTTATGACACGTTAAGTGCTAGCGGGTCAATGAAACGAAAGAATTGAAAATGAAAAGAACTTAAAGTGAATTTTTTCTTCAATCCTTTTATTTTTTTTGGTTTTTATCTTTGTTTTAAAAACGTTTCAATAAATTTATTTTTTACCAATTTAATTCAATAACTAAAAATTAAAAACTTATTAATATTTTATATCAATATAACTCAATAATTAAATATTAAAAATTTAATAGTAATTTTATATTATTAATTCTGCTACTTATGATATATTCAAGTATATATTAAATTTATTGTTGTTAAAAAATTTATCTAATAATTATTGCATATTAATAGAAACCAATAATTTTTCTGCGTTACAACCTTGAACTCATTAATTTGCTTTATTGACGAATGCACGTAATGTGCGTAACGATACATAACAACATAAACTATAATCATTAGGTTTTCGCTTTACTTATTTAAATTAATTTTATTAATTTAAATAAGTAAAGCGATTTTACCGATGGTAAAAATCAGAGTAATTAAAATTTAAAAGTTTTTGAAATGATTTTAATGAGCAAGAGATATATAATGTGTGAAAGTTTTTCTTCTTTAACTTCAGAGATTTATTTCGTTATTATTTGAAATTAATATATGTAATTCAGAACATTATCTCAACTGTACTTTTTTTTTAATTTAATTTTTTCTATTGTTTTTCGTGCAGCTTTTTGCACAGATTTTCTCGTCATTCAGAAAGTCATTGCGATGAAATGAATTATTTCTAAATAAATTAAATATTATCAATTGATTGTTTGCATTTTTAAAAAAAGCATTGATTTTATTTAAAATTGTTATCATAAAAATAATTTTATTCTTTACCCTTCAAGCATTAACTTCTTTTTGTATTTATAAAGTTTAGTCAAGAAGAACTATTACTAAGTTTTAAACAAAGAAAAAAGAAAAAACTTTGACTGTCCAAAAAAAACTGACTGCCAATTCCTTAAGTTGGAAAGTCAAATTGGCTGCTTGCCTTCAATTCTTTATTATCTACGCTGTGTGTACTTATGTATATACACACACACTGATCTCAAAATAATAACTGGATAGCGCATTCGGAAAAATTTTTGAAGCCAGTTTTGGCCTACCAAGATGGCGGCGTAGTTTGCCAACGGTTATAGAAGTACCGTTTAAAAAAATCAAAAAACCTTAAGCGTAGTCGATAAAGATAAAATTTTAAACACAAATAAGGTTTTTTTTTTTAAAAAAAAAACAATTTTTTAAGATAAAAGTAGGTATATATATATATATATATATATATATATATATATATATATATATATATATATATATATATATATATATATATATATATATATATAATATATATATAATATATATATATAAAATATATTTATACATATTCATAAAAAATATATATACATTGCTTAATATAAATATTATTTATCCTAATATATATATAATATATATATATATTAGGAAAAATAATATTTATATTATGCAATATATATATATTTTTTATAAATATGTATAAATTTATTTTATTATAAGATAAATAAAATCCTTCAAAAAAATTTAATAACCAATTTATGTACCTTTTAGTTCTTAATTATCTTATGCTGTGTGCTAGAAGGTTAATAACACAACTGCATGATAGGCAGCTTAGTATCTGTTTAATATGAATCAGTCTTAAAAAAAATTGTTTTAAACAGATACTTGTAATGTATATATGCTGCATGAACTATTAGCTGAGCTCTGTGAGTACACACAACTCAGAGGTTCCTTCTAGAGTTTGTTATCATTAATTATTTTAGTTTAGTTTTAATAGATTTTTCTTTTAATACAAATAAATATACTAACTATATACACACACATAAATATACTCACCTAGTACATTTAAGTGAGTATATATATATATGTATATATATATATATATATATATATATATATAATATATATATATATATATATATATATATATATATATATATATGTTTTGTGGATATACCATCAAGGTGTTTAATGAACAGAGCTATAATATAGAAAATAATAAAACTATGTGTTGCAATCATCAGGTGAAATACTTTTCATTTTTATTTCACCTGATGATTGCATCAGCATGAAACTTAATGTTGTAGTGTTGTAAAATTTGCATGAAATTCGTTTTATTTTCTACTATATATATATATATATATATATATATATATATATATATATATATATATATATATATATATATATATATATATATATATATATATATATATATATATATATATATATATATATATATATATATATATATATATATATATATATATATATATATATATATATATATATATAAATAAATGTTTGTATGTATATTATATATATGCATATATAACTCCTGATAAGTCGTAACCTTTAAGTGTCCGAGGAAATACTGGAAGTTTAATTTTTTAAAGGTTTGAGTTATCAGGAGTTTACTGTGTATATATCGATGACATATGTGCACAGATGTGGTAAGTGCAAGATCAAAACTGTAGAAACTGTCATTTGTGCGCGTAATTATAATAAGAAGAGTTTTTGTATTTACCACATATTGTCAATTATTAGACTCTTTATCGTTTATCCTACACATACCATATTTATTCACAATAAACTATAATTAAAAACAGGTTTTTCTGCGTACTTATCTCAATTTGACCAAAATTTGTACTTACCATATCTGTGCACTAAAATGGTATACTAAAAACAAATGTTTTCATTGATTTTTGAATAAGACAAATTTAATCAACTGCTTCCTAAACTTTTTTCCAGTCAATTTGTTAGTTACTTCTTTGCATTGGTGATGAAAGTGTATTTTTCAGTAATTTTTTGAAATAACTTTAATCAGTGAGAATAAATGCTTATCAGTTCAAGACGAATCTAGCATATGGTGAGTTAGTTCTGTGAATACTTTTGATATATCAACTGATCTCAAAACAACACTTGCATTTGCATTTTTAATTCCTATATCATTAGGGAGGGTAATATTTGTTGATGTAAGAAACCTTTAGAAACATCTTTCTGTTCCTTCGCATACCAAAACACTTTTGCTTGGTTTAACTAAACCTCCTCTAGAGAATTTATTCTCAATAAAATGTAACATACATATGTTACATCTTTACATACTATGTATGTGTTAAACTGTCAATAATTATCCTTCAAACTTTGAGGAATAATTATTCACAGTTGAGTTTGACAAGAGTTAGACTTTAAATCGAAGTCATTGAGAGATAATTTTTTACTTTGGAATATAAATATTGTTTTATATTTTCACTGAATATTGAGTCCAGAAAGTTAATGCATTAAATAATAAAATGACTTTTATAATCCTAGAAGGAACCTCTGAGTTGTGTGTACTCACAGTTCTCAGCTAATAGTTCAAACAGCATTTGTACAATAATGTTTCTACCTACAAAACTTATGATTTTAAAAGATAATTTTTTACTTTGGAATATAAATATTGTTTTATATTTTCACTGAATATTGTGTCCAGAAAGTTAATGCATTAAATAATAAAATGACTTTTATAATCCTAGAAGAAACCTCTGAGTTGTGTGTACTCACAGTTCTCAGCTAATAGTTCATACAGCATTGGTACAATAATGTTTCTACTTACAAAACTCATGATTTTAAAATTCTTTAAAGATTGTAGGTAGACATCGTTGCTGCTTACCAT